CCAGAGGATTTGTCTTTGAAGTGATTGAGGCTACCAGTGCACCTGCAGCTTGTGGCAACAGTTCCGCAGGTACACACCGAGACGTCTCTCAGTGCTTCCCATCTCGCTGCCTAGCTTTGTTAGACCAGGTGAGCAGCGAGATGCCTGGTCCCCCTGCGTAGGAACATGAAAACGCGGAGGAAAGCCCTTAGGGACAGGGTTACACACACACACACGGTGCCGCTTTGCGGCGCTCGTGCGAACGACCTGAATAGGTACCTAAAAAGCCTTAGAAACAAAAGAAAGAAACACAGAAAGAGCAGCGCTAAGAGGGCAAGAGAGAAAGGTAGGAGTAGAAAAAAGTGAATACTTAGCCCTTGACTGGGGTAGGGAAACGAGCCTCAAGAGCAACCTAAAAAGCCTGAGAGAAAGCCCAAGAAACGACCAAAAGCGCAAGAAGGAAAGTGGGGGGGTAGGGAGGTGTATGTACATGTGTGTGTCCGTGTGTGTGTATGAATACTTAGAACTCTAGAATTACTGATTACTTAGCGGAGGTGAATTAAATGCAATAGTTAGGGAGGGAGCGGGACTTTAGTCTTGGACCGCCCGGGTAGAGAAAACTAGAAAAGGGACAACAGAGGGAAAGGCACCGACGCACTCTGTTACCTTAATTAGTGGGTGGGAGGGGTTGGGGTGTTTGGGGTAGGAACCGCGTTTGGGTTCATTCTCCGTACAAGCCCGGCGATTGTTAATTCAGTGAGTTCAAACCGTATAAGCCCGGCGGCTCGTAAAGCAGTTGATTCAGCGGTGAAAAAGAATCAGTTAAGAAAATCCAACGAGTGGTGGAAACGAAGATCAGTTACCCAAGTGGGACGGCTGAGCGGTTCACACTCTGACATTGGTTGAGGGAACAGCAAGGCGAAAAGTCCAAGAATTTGAAGATGTTTCAACAAAAGGTTTGGTGCGCATCCGCAGTTCACGAACGCGCGGCGGCAGAAAGCAGCTGAAGGAAAAAGGTTTAGGGGGAGGTATCATGCAAACCACCATGGAAGCAAACCAACGGAAAATTGGGGTGACAGCTTGTGGCAACAGTTCCGCAGGTACACACCGAGACGTCTCTCAGTGCTTCCCATC